TTTAATGTTGATGCTTATAGAAAATGTTGAGAAGCCCAAATTGCCCAAACTAGTTTGGGCTTTGAGAAAACAGTTTGTACCAGAAACCTTATTATGTACATGAGGAAGACATGGGAATGACTGTAAAGTGTTCAAGGTAGCATGCATGCTTCAACATCTGTAAATTTTCAATAATCAAACATTGCATATTGAAATGTTTCTTTTTCAACAATGTGCTGCCTTGACATCTTGTGATTATAATATTTATAATTATATTATTATTGATTACAAAAAGCAAAATTCAATCATTTATTGTTGATAAGGATCCTGTGATTATCCAACAAGATCTGCTCTGTGTTTTGATTTCCAATTAAAATATTTATAAAATTTTTATAAAAAATATCAATACAAATAAAAAATATTACTTCTGGTTAGTTATTAACACATCTTCTTTAAAAGATTCGCGTTTTGTCATCTTGGACTCTGTCAAAAAATAAATTGTTTTTCCAAAAAAAAAAATCAATCAATTCGCATCTGCCCTACCAAAAAAAAACCAATAGGATAAATAATTAATGTCTACATGTCCCATTGTGTAGTTTCTTATGAATAATAAATCTGATGTTGATTGCAGGTGTCAGATTTAATTAAAATTTCCTATCACAAACATGCAAACTCTGTGCAATTAAGCACCATTCAGCACCATGGGAATTTTTTCCCACAGGTGAATGCGATTTGATCAAGTTGGAAGGCTTTGGACAAAACTTTTACTTATCTTCTCCTCAGACCAGGCTTGGCTGTTATCATATGGGCATTGATTGCTGATAGCTTGTGCCTGTGTGGATGATTACTTTGTGTTATACCTCTTCAGTATAAAGTTGGCACTTGCAACTGGTTCAAAAGTTCTGCAACTCAGGAGGTTGCAACCTGAGTTGCTGTTTTGGATTTTCCCTGAATTCGGAGTTTTTGAGTCCTGGGTTGTTGTCTTTTTGGTGGCATGCCTACTCACCAACAATCCCACCCCCATTTGAAAAACAAATTCAGTTGGTCAAATAAAAATTAAAGAAAAACAGAACCTACAAGACAGGGGACTGATTGGGCAAAAACCCCGTTCAGTCCCTTAACCAAAATTATTACTGTAAAGTCTGGAAAGATAGCATCTTTTTACATATGTGTAACATTTTTTTATATTGATGCTCAATTGTTTTAAAGTAGGGGTGCTATCTTTCGGGGAGTGCTATCTTTCCAGACTTTATGGTAAATTGGTTAGTATAAGAGAAACAGAGCATTTATGAAAATGATTATACAAAACAAACATTATTTTACAACTTTCCCCTTAACATCAGAGCCCAATGCAATTTCAGGGCCACAAACCCTGCTTTGGATTGTGACCTCCTGTGCTTGAAACAAGTTGCAGATTCTCTTTGCTTTGATGATCTGGATGTTTATGCACACCTAATATTACAATTCATCAACAGAGTTGCAACCTGGTCACAGAGCCATCCTTACCCTAGAGGTAGGATAGTTGCAGGCAAATTTTCAGCCAGCATGCCAGCAGCCTTCTCTGGTCTGGTGCTGTAAGGGAAGATTAGTGAAAAGCATCCTTGACAATTGATGCAGTTTTGATGTGGCTCCAGGGCAGAGTGACCCCACTGGAATTCTGTTGCATCATCATATCATCAGGCATCGCAAGTCAGATTAGCCTTGTGTACATGAGGAACATGTGTGAATGACTGCAAAGTGTTCAAGGTAGCATGCATGCTTCAATGTCTCTAAAAATTTCCAATTGTTTCTTTTTAAATGGTGTATTGCCTTGACATCTTGTAATTATAATAATACAATAGTATAATATTATTATTACTGTAAAGATAGCATCCCCTTTTTACATGTGTGTAACAATTTTTTTATATTGATGCTCAATTGTTTTAAAGTAGGTATTATCTTTCCAGACTTTATGGTATTGATTATGCAAAGCAAAATATTATCAATGAAAATCTTGTAATTACCCAGCAATGATCTGCCCCATGTTTTGATTTCCAATTAAAAAATTTATAAGCTAAAATAAAAGACACCTCATACATATCAATACAAATAAAAAAAAGTACCTCTGGTTAGTTGTTAACACGTTTCTTTAGGAGACCAAAACCAAATCAAACAACAACACTCACGTTTTGTTATCTTGGACACTGTCAAAAAATAAATTGGTTTTTCCAAAAAAAAAAAAAAACAATCAATTCGCATCTGTCCTCCCAAAAAAAAAAACCAATAGGATAAATAAGTAATGTGTACATGTTGATCAAATCACAAACTTCTTTTTTAAAAATTTTTTTTTATAATGTCATCAAAAAAAGACACAAAAAAAAGAAGACAAGAAAATAATCATGGAAATGCATTGGCTGTGTAAGTGTTTTAAGGATGGTGGTGGTTATTGCCACTTGTTGTTACTCTAGTTGTTTACAGATTTTGTTTTTATTTATAGCAATAATGAAATCACACAAGCAATCATCTCCAAACAAACCAATGAAGGCTCATTCCATATTTCCTATACACTTTTTGAAATTCTTGACATCCCTTCAGATACAAGATCCCAATCATTCACCTCTACCATTCAAACATATGCTGTCAGTGAATGCTTCAAGGAAACTACTACACAATATACTTGGTGGATAACTGCAATTACCATCAGTTATCTTGAATTGCATGCATCCTTTCATGAAACAACATGGAAAGTTCAATATGAAAAGGCTAGAAAATATCTAAGTGAATGAATCAATGACATTGAACTTGAAGAACTTTTAAAAACTTGTGCTAAAATTGTTGAAGAAAAAATGACCAATGCAAAAGATCATTCTTTTCAGTATGTATATTAATTGTTTTTGAGAATATTAATTTATCGCTCCATTAATGCCATATATTTAAATTTGGCTCAAACCATTAAAATATTGTCATAACCAATTAGTATAGTGTAAATGAATTATATTCTCCATAACTAATATTATTTTTTAATTTCAATTTGTTTAACACCAAAAGAAAAAATAATGATGATATGGAAGATGTTGTCAGTAGCAGCAGTGGCAGTGATAATGGTAGCATTAGCAGTCATAGTATTTGTAGTTGCCATCAGTGTTGTGACCCGAGACTCTGAGTTTAGGGAAAACCAGAAACAGAAACTAACAGAAACCAGTTTAGGTTAGTATTTTATGTTTAGGTTTAGGTTTAGGTTTAGTTTCTGCTTAGTGTAAGTTCATTTTCCAAAACATTTCGGGAAGCCAAAAGAGTTTCTGGTCACAACACTGGTTGCCATTGCCAAATTTGGTAAGTAATTACATTCTTATTGAATATGTGTAAATTTTATTAAAAAATATGTGTGCAAAATCCAATAATAATAATTTTTTTTTTTGAATGAACAATAGCATTGTTTCAAACAGTCTCTAATAATGATATTAGAGACAATTAATGAATCTTTGGACATGGCACATTTAAATGGTGTAGTTAAGAAACATTCCTTCACCATAGAAAAAATTACTAAAGAATTGGAGCAGCTAGATATGGTGAACCCTCTATAAGTGCACCCCCCTCAGGAACATAGTGCTATTTCTTGTGAGCATGCATTTATGGAGGGTGTGCATTTATAGAGGGTGATTTTATAAGCTCTCTATAAGCTTGGGGATGAGATGGTCTGTGCATTTATGGAGGGTATACATGGTGCATGCATTTAGAGAGGGTGCACTTAGGGAGGGTTCACTGTAATGAACAGTACACATAATGTATTTTAAAGTTATTTTCTGTTATTAATTTTCATTTTGCATATTTCATACTGCATCAACATTACAGGATTCATCAATATCAGATGAAGGTGAGATTGAAAGTGTACAATCAAATTGAGAAGAAGAAGGTATTGTTGATGATGATATTAGTGATGATGTTGTTTGAGATTATAATAAAAAAAGATGAGGGTGAAGAAGAGGAGATACAAGAAGTTAATGCTGCTGATATTAAACAGCCTACAAATACTGCTGTGTCTACAGATTCTGATAACAACAACAACAATGATAGTAGTAATCAAGAAAATACTGGATGTAAGTGCTGATTTTTTAAATATTGACATTAATAAATGTGTATATACAATTATTTGTATAGATGTGTATTTGGAAAAATAATTAAATGATATTTTATTATTATCTTATACATTATTTCAAAATAAAAAGCAAGTTTTCCTATAAGACTATCAAGATACAGGCCTGATACTGTTAGGGTTTGTATTCATGAATATCATAAGGGGTCACACACTATTAAAATCAAGTGACCAACTCATGATTTTAAGGGATTTTTTGCTGTTTTAATAGTGTGTAACCCCCTTAATGATATCCATGATATTCATGAATAAAAACCCTAGATACTGTAGCTTCAAGGTATCAAAAATTAACAAAACTTCTTCTGAGAAAATTACCCTTTTCCAGATTGGTTAGTGATCAGAAATTTATTGTATTATTAAAAATTTTTTAATAATAATTGAATATATAAATGCTATATGTAAAATTAATTTACCATTATGCACATATACATGTGTAGGTTTGAGAGGTTGCTACAAGTATACTTGGACAAGACTCTTGAGCAGGACTTAGATTTGAATCCACAGCTATTCTAGCACTTCAAGAATCAAGAAGGTAATTAAATTTATTTATTTTTTAATTGAATTCCTATATATATGAGTTTGTGAATTTATATATAATAATTTATTGGGGTATTTGATGTCAGTTGATTAACAAATTAATTAGTTTTGATTTTCTTAGAAGGTTGCACACTTTAATAATTTTATATTGCATTTTTTTTATTTTAATTAGCTGCTGAAGCATATCTAATCCAAATGTTTGAAAATGGGTATGTTGATTTGATAATTTTCAATCTGCAAAAAATAATGATTTCATTAGTAATATCATTATTAATAAAAAACCTCTCTCTCCATTATTATCAGACATTTATGCACAACTCATGCTAAACGAGTAACATTAATGAGAGAGGACCTTGAATTAGCATTGAACATTTCTGGGGACAGTATTAATAAATAAAAAATAGAGATAGTTATGTACTGCATTATATCATATACATGAAAAAATTTTAATTCATTGTGATTTACATGGTGGTACAGTGCGGATCATCTATACTCAAAAGTTAAAATTTTTGAAATATTATGTGATCCACGCTTGGATTTTAAAAAACTCGCTACCATTCAATTCAGCTTTAAAAAGGGAGTCTATTAATCAAAAAAAAAGATTGTCTCAAATTTTCTTTTCATAAATTTTTTAAATTTGAAAGTTATGCTCAGAAGTGCAACAATAATTTTCGTGTTACAATATTTTGAATCTCACAACCAAATTTGGTAATGATTTTCTTTTAATGTAATATGTTCGTTAAACTTTTTTGTTGTAAAGAACTTTTATTTATTAATAAAAAAAGGAAATAAATAAATCAAATGTATATTGTAGAAAATATTCCATGAAAAAAAAATTTGTTACACGAAATTTACTTAGTCTCAATTTCTTAAATGTATAACAAAATTCGGAATTTTCAAAATGCTAAGGCTCTGCCAATTTTCAGTTCAAGAAAAAACCAGCCGATAAGTTTTAAAGCTTGGGTCGTGAACAATAAAACTTATCGGTTAAATTTTTTAAAAAGATATAATTTTTTTTTGTTTTAGTATTTTGAAGTTGACCAATGATTATAGATGATCTGCACCGTAAAAGTAGAATATTAAATGGTGACATGTTTATATTACATTAAGTAATGACTTATTAAATTATTTTATAATTACTAATATGATTATTATTAAATAATAAATGATAAGTAATTAAAAGAGAAAGGTTAAAATTTTGGAAAATTTGAGAATTGCTGATGGGTTTATATCCTTTTATTTCTTAAATATAAAATAAACAAATTTATAGAAAATCAATTTCAAATAAACTTTCAAAGTAATTAGTAAAAAATGAGGCAATTCGGAAGTTAGCTACTTGTATTGCATGTAATTTTAAAATAATATCCCATTTTGCAGCTACCAGGAAGCAATTGAAGCTCAGGTTCTGTTTAACATACCATCAAGTAATTCGAAAAAATGAAAGCTAATTCAGAATTAGTATTAGAAGAGAGGTGCTTCAAGCGTTTGAAAAAAAGAAAGTACAGAGAAGCATGAAATTCGAGTATCTTTTTTGGAGAAAAAACAAATTTTTATTTTTATGTTTTGTTAAAAGAAAATTTGTTTATTTGACTAAGATATATAAAGTAATACATGATTGTTAACATCTATAAAAAAATTTAAAAGCAAGATTAAAAAAAAATTACTAGAGTAGTTATTTTTATAATATTTTAACAAGGAATTATCAAGCCGTCTGAGGGCGTCGATTTTCCCTGGTAGTTAAGAGCCATTTAAATAGTCGTTTACGACAAAAGATTATTAATAATATCTTAATAACTAATACCACAATTATTATTATCGTAACAGGATCACTTAATCCGCCTGTTCCGCCTGTTCCACCCGTTCCGCCATAATTCTTGGAACATTTGTGTCCAGATTCACAGGATGTTCCATCTGGACAGCATCCACCTCCACTATCTGTACAACAGAAATATCCATTCATACAACACCTCCCTATACTATCTGAACATAAATGATATCCAGCGTCGCAAGTATAATTAGTTGAACTATTTAATTGATTATTGAAACCGAGAGTCATATTGTATCGGATTACATCTTCAGCATTAATAGAAGGAGTTATAACTCCAAAAGATATGACAGCAAGAACAAGAATCACGGTAAAAATGTTCATGACTTTAAAACTGATTGATATTTGAAGATAATGTTTTTTTGTTAATATGGTGTTTTCTAATTGAGGTTATAAGGGTGATATTTTTTTGGGAGATAAAGTATGTTTAAAACTAAAATTTGTTTAGAAAAAAGAATCCTTTAAACAAGACCTTTTATAAAGATTTGAACGGAATTAATTTCCGAATTAAATGTTCTATTTGGAAAATTTAATAATAATTTGACAAGGAAATAAAATTGTGTACCTATTACTAATGTGTTGAAACAAAAACGGCGGCGACGAAAAACTGCACATCTTAATATTAATAATGTTGTGCGTGAAAATCAAATTTGTGCGTTAATTTGAAATTTACTAATATAGTCAATTCGAAACTGAAAGAAAATATTACATATTAATATTGCAAAATTTCCGTAAAAAATATGTATCACTATAATTTCCTTTTTTATTAAGAAAGTATATCCTCGACTTTCGATAGTCAAGCACAACTTTAAAGTCGGCTCGGGATTATGGGTGGAAAAAATACAATATTTGAATAAATTCATTATAATAAAATTGATTATTTCACTCAGGGAAAAGCAATAAAAGCTATTTATTATTGTTTTTTACTTTTTAAATAAATAATAATTATTGTTTTTTAAATTTTACTTTTTAAATAAATAATAATTATTATTATTTTATTTATATTAACATACAGTTCAATCAAACCTTTCATCCCTATATGTAATTTTTCTGCTATAGCCTACTAAAAAATCCATTATCCCTTGAAATACGATTTAAATATAAAATCCGTCGAAACGAGAGTATTTAATTAATAAAAACGAGGAGTCAAAACAAAAATCCATTGAAACGAAGCCCATTGAAATGAGGGTGGATCAGCACAAAATTTTAACCCATGCAATTATTGATTGACCAATGACCAATCAAGATCGTGAATTTGATAATGTAAAAATAAATGTTGTTTGATTCATTTCATCAACAATCACTTCACCAACAATTGTTTCGTTAATAAATGGTTTGAATTTAAGAAGTTGGAAGCAACCATGTGACAAACCTTTGAAATAGTCTAATAAATTAAATTGTACTACTTGAAAAT